CCTGATAATAGAACCTCAACTTCAGTTATTGACAGTTAGATGTTTGTCCATCCTTCCCTCAGGATGTCCTGCATTTTCTCTCTGAGCTCTGACACAGCTGCTGTCACATCCTCAAAGTATCTCAGAGGACGAATATTGATGCTGGATGAGTGTGTAGACTCACTGAGTGCTGACAGTGAGGGGTAGTTCTGGAGAAACTGGGTGTGATCTTCTGTTTTTAGGAGCTTCTCCAGCTCAGCATCTTTCCTCTTCAGCTCAGTGATCTCCTGCTCCAGTTTCTTCTGAAGCTCTTTGACTCGACTCACTTCAGTTTCCTGCTGGGATCTGATCTGCTGGTTCACATCGGAGCTTCTTTTCAGGATGAGACGGATCAGATCAGTGAAGATCTTCTCACTGTCATCCACTGTTTTATCAGCAGAGCCATTGATGGCCTCCACCTCCTGTTGAAGCAGCTTCACATCTTTCTCCTGGTCCTGGATTCTCTGCTGGATTTGTTGTCGTCTCTCCTGGAGCTCCTTCTGCTTCTCAGTCCTTTCTGCTGCAGTAGGAACTGTTTCGTGGTCTTTATGTTCATCCATTAAGCAGAGATAACAGATACACTGCTGATCAGTACGACAGAAGATCTTCATCACCTCATCATGACGAGAGCAGATGTTCTCCTGGAGAGTTTTGGACGGGTCCACTAGTTTGTGCTTCTTCAATGATGGAGCTTCATAGTGAGGTTGGAGGTGATCCTCACAGTAGGACGCAGGGCAGAATAAACAGGACTTAAAAGCTTTCCTTTTCCTCCCAGTGCAGACATCACAGGCCACATCTTCAGGTCCAGCATAGCAGTGATCAGCTTCAGCAGCTAGGAGTCCAGTCTTCTTCAGATCATCCACCAATTCAGCTAACAAGATGTTTTTCACCAGTCCAGGCCTCGGTATGAACTCCTTCCTGCACTGAGGGCAGCTGTAGATCCTCCTCTGATTGTTCCAGTTTTGTTTAATACAGCTCATACAGTAGCTGTGGCCACAGGGAATAGTCACCGGATCATTCAGTAAATCCAAACAGATGCAACAGGAGTATTTTTGTGAATCCATCTGAATTTCTCTTCAATTTCTCAACAATTACCTCCAGTCGTCTTTACCTCCTCTAGATGTGTCCGACAAAAACGCCAGTTTACTTACTAATCTGCAGGAATTTCTGTAATCGACTCAGTTATCACATCAATCCAACAGCTTTCAGACATGAAACAGGAGGAAGCAGGAAACAACAGAGATAAACTCGGTATTTCATAGGGTGGAGCTTGTTGAGAGTAGCAGGGGATCTCCAAAGTTTAGGTTTCTCTTTTGGTTTTTGTGTTTGTTGGCAGGCCGTAGTTCCTGGGGGTTTTTGGAATTTGGTTGGGGATTTTTGATTCACAACATTTTATTACATGCAACAATTTAATTTTATAAAGTGTCATGAACTACATTTATCAAAGAAGCTGAGAAATATTTCTGTTTTTGTGACACATGTTTGGTTTAAGTGGCTGGAATACTTATTATAAAGGCTTTGTCTTAACATTAGCAGGGTAGAGTTTCATTACAAAGCCTACTGGCTTAAACTGATGCCCTCTTGCTGTAATTGATATATTTACCTTATCTTTCTGCATTTAACTGATAATTTTGATTTATTGTTGGCGGCAGTCTGTCTTATTTAAGTATTCTGTGACTCATATTCTTGTACTGTTTGCTTTCCTTTTGGTTAAGCTTTTTTTCTTATTTTGCCATTCTTAGACTTACTTAGGTCTAAGTGGTCTTAGCTCTAAGGATGTAATTCTTTGTTACACCCACAGCATACTGATCTCAGTGCTCCCCACCACTAGTTAGAACTTAAGAATCTTCTTGGATAAGGGGGACGTGTCTTCTAGAAAAGTTCACGTCCTTTTGCCTAGACTGAACTTTTTCAATCTTGGCCATGACCTGGATGACTGAGAATCTTCACAGATATGTCAGGGTTAGGGCATAAAAAGGGTTGAATATTAGTGAAAATCAATGGAAGTCGACACATGGTCTTCAAAGCAGGACAAGATTGTGTTTTCTTCTGCCCTTGCATGGAGATCATGGGTTGTTTTAATGGGGTAATGGTGTACCCTGCCTGCAGGCGTGCAGCTTTGAATGGTGCACATTTACCTGGGTTGGGGCAGGACAGAGGTTGCCGGATAGCCGTAGTTTTTGTTGACTGATATTATTTTCTTCTCATTTATTTTCTACAATCCAGTATGCATTATTTTCTATATCTGTGTCATCACAGCTGTCCTGGGACTCAATGACGAAGTGAGGCTAGCGTACAGAGGCACCACCACGCCCTCTGACCACCATCAGTAGTAAATGTAGTTTGAGGTAATGCCAATGTTGCAACAACAGAGAAGGATAGAGCTGAGGCCTGTACCACGAAGGGAGCTCAACCTGCCCGGGTTTAGTCTCAGCTTATCCATTTCAACCCATCCACAACAATTCCAATCAGGCTCAGCAGTACTACGAAGCTGGTTATCAACTTGCTATCAACTCAGTATTGCTTTAACTGATCATCAATCTGAGTATACACAGAAATAAAAGGATGGGTTCAAGTTTGCAGAAGAATTATGGGACCTTTAAAATATGTATTATTGTTTTTGACATCATTAATTAATCCGTTATCTGTTCAAGCTGCTCCTGTTGTGTGTTGTTTTCACTTCCAGTATAAACTGCTCAGCCACCATCATTAAGAAATCTGATTGGTTGTCCTGGTTGCAGGGTGTGGGGGCGAGGCCTTCTGGAGGGCGAGGGCATGAAAAGCTACAACAGCTCGTTTACAAGGGGGCAGAATGTTTGCCTACAGACACAACAAGACATTTTTTGTCTTCTACAAATACATCAGCTAATGTTTATTTCTTCTTTCTTCTCTTTCTTTTTTCTTTCCCTTCCCCTGTCCCCCTGTCAGGTTTGGCATTACTCATCTAACTTCTGTAATAAAAATAAATCTTAAATAAAAAATGAAGGATGTATTTGATGATCAAGGAAGGTGTTTCATCCTGACCAGCCTCCCTTGGCAAAGCAAAAGTGTTGGGCAGGGCATGGCACACTGCAGTTTACAATTCTGTTGCCATAATGCTGAACACGACACGGGGAAAAAAAAGAAGAGGGCAGAATGACAAGGTTATCAGTTCATGTTTTCTAGGTATCTAATCTGAGAGAAATTTTCCTGCTCAAAGGTTAAAAACATTCTCTGGTGGGATCAGTGTTAATATTTTTTATTTTCAAATGCCTTATAATATGAGATCATAAACTCTAAACCAGGGGTCTTCAACGTTTTCCAGACTAAGGACCCCAAAACTGAAGGCGAGATGGAGCAGGGACCCCCCAATTATATATATTGTATAAAAGTGTGTTCTATCAAACTGATCCTATAGTGTCTCTATTTCAGATGGAGTCATGTAACGAAACTAATTTCTCCCTGGGATTATTAAAGTGTTTCTGATTCTGGTTCCTGGTTGATGGGACAGGTGTTGTGAATGAAACGGTGCCCAGCTTGAAAGAGCTCCTGTGTGTCGCTGAATGTGAGCATTGATGACTGAAAGACATCTTCTGCCTCCTTTTATCTGTTTACTACTCTGTGTTGAATTCATGTGTATTTAAAGACATTTTTATTAGCGGAAAAAAAAAATGCAGGGAGGGAATATAAAAAAAAAGGTTTAGGTTACAGCTATCCTATACCTGTTTGACCTCTTTTCTCTGGTTCATTTGTCATTTATGTTGAGGACTATCTAAAAATATAAGTCATGTTTTTAGATATTTTATGCGTCAAATCTTGACATTCTTTCTCTGACTTTTTAAAGAACTAAACTAATCTAGAGTCTATGTTTCTGTTCTTACTATTAAACTCATTGGAACAACAATAACAATTTTTTTTTTTAAATAATCTTCTCATTTCCACTCTTTTGTCAGATATTTGAGTTGTTTTTACTCAGAAACGCAGATCTTCATTGATGGCTGAAAGACATCTGTCTCCATTTATCTGTTTACTACAGTGTGTTGAATTCATGTTAATGTGGATTTAAAGACATTTCAATTAGTGGAAAAAATTGCACAATGGAATATAACAAAAAGGAGTCTAATCAAAACTTCGCGACCCCCATGCAGTACCTCTGCGGACCCCCTAGGGGTCGCGGACCCCCTTGTGAAGACCTCTGCTCTAAACTATGAAAATAAAAAAATCAAGGTTCATAGAAAAGGTGCATGGATTTGAAGATTTAAAGACTGTTTGTATGAAATAATGGCTTCTCGTAAATATATATAAAATTCAATATTTTGACTGAAAGTTGACTGATGAGTGAAATACTGACAGACAGAGGTGTTTTATACGCCTTTATTTTTGATGACTATGATATTTCTCGATGTATGGCTATAAAAACACACATTTTTTGGTAGCATGTAATATTACATCACATATAAGAAAAACTGTAATTTGTATTTAGACATTTATCTGGTATCCTAAACCTGCTGTAGTTAACACAAAAAACATTAAATTAAAGACTTTAAAAGAGGAGATATACAAAAAAAAAACAACAAAAAAGAAAAAACACAAAAGGCATTAAATAAGTACAGAACCTGCTCTGGAATAAATTAAAGGGTAAAAGACCAAAGAAAGTGCTGCTCTTAACCTGCAGTCAAACACACCTGTACACATGTATTATATAAAGCTTTGAGAAAACAGCTACAGACTGAAGTTAATCAAACTTGTGGAGCAGTCAATCATTAATAGACGTTCCTATTGTAGCCCTTGATGCAAAGAATTCTGCCCTTAAAAAGATAGCTTGGACATTTATCACCTAAAAGTGAAAGAGTGTGAGTACGCTCCTAAGCTCGGTAGCACTGAATGTGGAAGTTTTTGTCAAAAACTACCAGTTTCATAATTTTCTGACTGCCTGGACCTGGAACAATCGGTTCTTTACATATCTCACACACAGGAGAGAAACGCCTGTGGTAATCCTGGACACAGTAGGGCTTGTTGTCTTCCCCTGTGATAAAGGGGACTCCTTCCAACGTGCACGAACAAGTGCTACAAAAGAAACAATGGACATGAAAACACTTTCCCATAGCCTTCAGAATGCGGCCAGTGATTTTCTCTCCACATCGATAGCAATCAGCCAGACATTTAGTGTAGCAACGTTTACATTGTGGTAAACCTTCCTTGTCATAGAACTGCATGCCCTGCAGGGGGCGCTGGCAGTTCACACAACTGAAGCAACTGGAGTGGAAGATTTTGTCCAAGGCCTGAAGAGCTGGCTGAGTGCTGGACAGAGCCTTACCACATTTCCCACACGTCTTTAATGGAGGGGATTTGATTTCTTGTACCAGTTTGTCTGTTTTTAAGTTTTTGATCATGTCCTCTTTTGGCTGCAATTTCTTCATGTCTGAAGAGACACCTGGAACAGGGTCAGGAGGTGTTTCCATTGATAAAGGCCTGTTTTTAATTGGCTTGTTGATGGAAGAGGAGGGTGATGCCTTAGTGTCCTCCACTGCTTTATCAGCAGAAAGACTGACGGCATCCATCTTCTTCTGAAGCACCTTCACATTCATCTTTCTGTCCACTATTCTCTGGTGGATTCTTTTTTTCATTGCCTCCATCTCCTTCTGCTTCTCAGTCCTTTCAGCTGCTGCCGGGACAGCTGTTTTAAATTTATTAAATAAAATCCTCCTTACTTCATCATGACGGGAGTGAATATTCTGCTGGGGCTTTGAAAAAACATCAACAAGTTCATGCTTCCGAAAAGCAAATGACGCATAGTGAGGCTGGATGTGATTCTCACAATAAGAAGCCATACAGACCAGACAGGACTTAACAGCTTTCATCTTCCTCCCAGTGCAGACATCACAGGCCACATCCTCAGGTCCAGCATAGCAGTGATCAGCTGGAGAAGCTTGGAGTCCAGTCTTCTTTAGATCCTCCACTAAATCTGCTAACACAATGTTTTTGACCAGGACAGGCCTCGGTGTGAAGGTTTCCCTGCACTGAGGGCAGCTGAAGACTCCTTTTCGTTTCTCTTGATCCCAGTAAGTTTTAATGCAGTTCATACAATAGCTGTGTCCACAGGGAATAGTCACTGGGGTCTTCAGGATATCCAAACAAATACAACAAGATAATTTTGCAGAATCCATCTGATCTCTCTGAAATGCTCTTTCACTTGTGTGTCAGTTGAGAGAAAGTTAATGTGTCACATGAAGCTTTACTGGAACAGCTATCCGTCTTGACTTCCTGGTACTGTAGATGGGAGTGACTCTTCTTGCTGTTATCAGTGCTCCGGAGATCAGAGGTCATTTCTGTTGAGTTGAATCCATCATAAAGTAGCGACTACTCATGATATGTTGTAAAACTATAAATCAGTGCTTTTACTCACCTTCCACTTATGCCGGAACGGGTCGGGCAGTTAGTGTCAGCAGAGAGTGCAGATACTGCTAACTTTGCAAAGTAAATAAAGTGCCGACTGAGTAAATCCATCAATCTCCTTTATTTAACTGGACTAAATAGTTGAAAACTTTTTTTCCCACAACAGGCATCCATATCCACAGACCTCCTTCAATTCATCTGAAGGAAGCCCAAAGGAATAAATGGCCATTTGAGAGACATAGTCTGGGCTGTGCACTGAGCCTCCTCACCATGTTGTACTTCAGACACACCCAAGAGGGAGGTGTCTAGCGGGAATCTGTAAAAACATGTTCAAGCCATCCCAGCTGACTCCTCTCAAAGTGAAGAGGCGGCTCTACTCCTGGCCTCTCCTAGATCACCCAGTATAAACCCAATACCAATAGCTAACATGTATCATCATCATGTCACAATGTACATTAAGAGATTAATAGACCTGGTTCATATAGGGGGAGTGGTGGCCTAGTGGTTAGGGCATAGAGCTTGGAATCCTGATGTTCTGAGTTCGAGCCCCACTCTCACAGATTGCCACTCTGGGTCTCTGAGCAAGACCCTTAAAGCTGCAGTCTGTAACATTTGAAGAAAAACAGGTTTCACGCCACTCCCCCACCCTCTCTGCTTCACTCATGCCCCACCTCCAAGCTCCACCCCTCTCACAGCATCTGCGCGGCTACCGCATGCGACCAGAAGGGGGGGTTGGGGTTCAGCGTGTGTGAGCTGTGATTGACACTCCATCAGACGCTCCTCTGGCTGTGATTGGTTGTTTTGACTCGTCCCGAATTATTCTTTCCAGATTGAAATACAGGCAGTATGCGGGACCAATTGAAGCAGTTTTTTTCACAGGTTACATATCACATGTACTGCTGTCTGTGCATAGGGACAGTTTTAGCCAATATGACAAAAAAGTGATTTTTAAAAACTTACAGACTTCAGCTTTAACCCCACACTGCTCCCTGGGCGTACTACTATGGTAGCCCACTGCTATCCAAGGGGATGGGTTAAATGCAGAGGAAAAATTTCTCCAATATGAGATCAATAAAGTTCAATTTTATTTTTTTATTATCTTCATATGCCGGAATATTCAAATAAGCTTTTTACACAGACAAATTCAATTCAGTTGACTATGTTTTTTTAAGTCTTTATGTAATAGTTAAAAGAAGCTGATGTTGCTTAAACATTGTACACATTGAGTTCTCCCTCGAAAAAGAGATTTTATCTCAAGGGACTTCCTGGTAAAATAAAGGTTAAAATAAAAGTTAAATAAAAATAAAATTGAGTATTTTTATTTTGGTAAACCGGCTTTATGTCCTGGTGTGATGTCTATGATTAGATGCTTACAGACATCCCTCTAAAATCTCACTCAAATAAAAATTTTTGTTGTTTCATTCATTATTGGGTTCATCATACTGCATAGTTTATTTGATTTTCTGCCATAAAATGCCCTTAGTTAGATTGCTGGCATTGCTTTCAATGCTCTGGTACACTCGAAATGCTAGCTATGTTTTGTGATCCTGGAACTCATTTTTTCTGAAGTACCACTCTCTGCCCACTCTCTGTACCACTATCTAAATTAAACTGAAAAACTGAAACTTTTTAAGGAGGTCTTTCATTTGTTCTTAGTGCAGAGGTGCAAAGATGAAAAAAAAAACCCATTAGCATTCAGGCTATGGTGGTTCTTCTACCATCTCTGGAGGTAAATATAGCCAATGTTTCCTGACTTTTTCTACTATTAAAAAGCTTATGAATTAGTTTTGGGAAATGTTAAAAATGTCCAAAAGGATTTGCTACTGGGTTTGGGATTACAGACATGACAAGAACTGACAGCAGTAAATCTACCACCCAGATGAAATATAACACAACTCAACTGAACATCAAGTCTGTGTTAGAAAACCAAAAACTATGAGCAAACTGTAAAATGCTGGTGTTAAGTACGTGCCTAAATTTACTGTCCAAAATAACTTATTTTTACAGTTGCCTGCTAGTATGTATAAAAACAGTGTACTTTTTAATTATTCTGACATGTTTCCAGAAAGCTCATTAAAACAAAACATCAGA